GATATATTGCTAGACAGCTTCGGGACATTAGATAGGTTCCCAAACCAGTTTCCATTATATCAATAATCACTTTTGTTTCAAATTTCTTGATTTCTTTTTTTTTTGCAACAAAAAGTACACCTAACTGGTCACACTCTCCCCCACCCCATCTCTCTTTGTTCTTATTTTCTCGATATCACAAAATTCGCCTAACTATTTTCACCCAACTTCCTCTTCTCCGAGAGACACGTGACTCTTCTAGAAGACGTTTTTCTTCGATTTGGATGTCTCTGAAATTTCTGATTCTTATAATATTGATCTGTATTCTGATAGAAGTTGTTGGCCCACATCCAGTCGGTTTTCATAGCTTGAATAATCCATTCACACATCCGTTGAGGTAACCCAATCTTTAAAAGCGCGTATCTCAACTTCTAGGGTAGATGTCAAAAAGTCGTCAACTAGTAGAATGTCTAAAATTAAATTTCCAATATTTTACTAGTTATTTACTTTATGATATCTTTCCTAGAAATTGAGATAATTAAGGTCAAAGCAGCTCCAACCTCTGGGCGCGGCGTCCGAAAGAGGGGGAGGGCGCTTAGAGGCGCTCTTTTTTAAAGGCGCATAGCTCGAAAACTATGAAAGAAAAAAAATTGTTTAACCAGGCAAATGTGCAAAATTTTATTTCATACATTTTGTCAGTTTCTCACTTTTTTGTAGCTATCTTGGTTTTTGAGTTATGTGTCGTTAAAAATAGAGAGCCTTTAGGCGCGGCGCCCGGAAGAAAGGGGAAGGCAGGCACCAAATTTTTAAAGGCGCATAGCTCAAAAACCAAAAAAGCTAGAAAAAAGTTGTCAATCAGCAAAATGTGTAAAATTTAATTCTACACATTGTCCATGTTGATAACTTTTTGATATCTTCTTCAGGAATCGAGATATTTAGGTCCATAGTTACAAATTTACGGTAGAAAAGTGTTCCCTTCTCCAGGCCTCATAACTTGTTTCAAGTTAAAAATTAGAAAAATTTTATTATGAAAATCGAATTTTCAAAGAAATTTCAGTCTAGGAGCAAAACTCCAACCTTTTTTAATTCCAGAATTCGATAAAAATCCGAATTTTCGAAATTTCTGTGCTAAACAAAGTTTCATCCCTCATAACTGCCTCTAAATATGAATTCTGCAAATTTTATATGCATTTTTAAAGGTTTTAAAACGCAACATAAGCTTT